GTGGCGCTGTGGCTCAAGTGGTAGAGCGCTAGCCTTGAGCTGAAGAGCTGAGGGACAGTGCCCAGGCCCAGAGTTCAGGCCCCACGACCAGACCCCCCCCCAAAAAAAAGAAAAATAAATAGCAAAAAGCCAGAACCAGAAGTGCGACTCAAGTGATGGAGTGCCAGCTGTGAGCAAAAAGGGTGAGAGCATGAAGCCCTAAATTCAAGTCCAAGTGTCAGCACAAGTAAAAGAAAAAATGTTCTCAAAATCTTGATAACACTTTGCATATAGGAAATATGTATGTCAAAAAAATGTTATTACAGGGGCTGGGAAGGTGGCTCAGTGGTAGAGTGCTTGCCTTGCATGCATGAGGCCCGGGGTTCAATTCCTCAAAACCACATAAGCAGAAAAATCTGGAACTAGTACTGTGGCTCAAGTGGTAGAGCACTATCCTTGAGCTGAAAAGCTGAGAGATAGTGCCCAGGCCCAGAGTTCAGGCCCCATGACCAAAAAAAAAAAAAAAAATGTTATTACAGCCAGGCACCGGTGGCTCACGCCTGTAATCCTAGCTACTCAGGAGGCTGAGATCTGAGGACCTCAGTTCAAAGTCAGCCCGGCAGGAAAGTCCGTGAGACTCTTATCTCTAATAAACCACTAGAAACCAGACGTGGCGCTGTGGCTCAAGAGGTAGAGCACTCGCCTTGAGCTGAAGAGCTCAGGAACAGAGTTCAAACCCCAGAGTTCAAGCCCCACGACTGACCAAAAAAAAAAAAAAATGTTATTACAAAAATGATACAGGTGCTGGGAAGGTGGCTCAGTGGTAGAGCGCTTGCCTTTCATGCATGAGGGTTCAATTCCTCAGCACCACATAAGAAAAAAGAAAAAAGCAGGAAGTGGCGCTGTGGCTCAAGTGGTAGAGCGCTAGCCTTGAGCTAAAGAGCTGAGGGACAGTGCCCAGGCCCAGAGTTCAGGCCCCACGACCAGACCCAAAAAAAAAAAAAAAAATAGGATCTTGGATTTTACTTATTTAATGACACTTCCCTCATCAGGCTCTTATGTTGAATCCGAGTAAGTGAAGCTTCCAGTCATACTTATGATTTCCCTTTTCTATTCAGCCCTACCCTGTCTTTACACTGACCACATCAGCCCATATCAGACAGCTGAGTTGTATATAGGAGAGCTAAGCATGCAAATGATCCTAAGGATCATCAGTACAGAGTATGGATCCTGAATCTTGGCCCTGAGATTTATCAGACATCCGTATCTTTAAATGAGGATGACAGAATGCCCCAGTAGGGACTGTTAAAGGATAAAATAACCTATGATAAGATTTTTTTTTTTGGTCGGTCGTGGGGCTTGAACTCTGGGCCTGGGCGCTGTCCCTCAGCTCTTCAGCTCAAGGCGAGCGCTCTACCACTTGAGCTACAGCGCCACTTCCGGTTTCCTGGTGGTTTATTGGAGATAGGAGTCTCGCGGTCTCTCCTGCCCCGGCTGGCTTTGAACCGAGATCCTCAGATCTCAGCCTCCTGAGTAGCTAGGATTACAGGCATGAGCCACCAGCGCCCGGCTTTTTATGATAAGATTTTTTTAATTCTACAAAAAATTAGTTTTTATAGCCGGGTGCCGGTGGCTCACACCTGTAATCCTAGCTACTCAGGAGGCTGAGATCTGAGATCACGGTTCAAAGCCAGCCTGGGCAGGAAACTCTGTGAAACTCTTATCTCTAATAAACCATCAGAAAACCGGAATTGGTGCTGTGGCTCAAGTGGTAGAGTGCTAGCCTTGAGCTGAAGAGCTGATGGACAGCGCTCAAACCCAGAGTTCAAGGCCCACAACTGACAAAAAAACAAAACAAAAACAAAACAACTAGTTTTTACAATTATTATTAAGGGTTGCTCATGTGTCACCTATTTTCTCTTGTGCACTTTGGGTTTTTCTATGGCATTCTGTATCTTTCATAAACTTTCCAAAAATTCAGACTAAAGTGAGCTGCTTTGATGGAACATCAAAGGGATCACTTGTATCCTTCATTATCTGACATCAACAATTCAAACAAATACCAAAACTGAATAAAATCTGCAAATTCACTGGGTAGAAAGGAAGATAAAAAGAAACCCTGCATGGGTGACAATGTTGTCAGACACTTTGTATTCATATACTCTTTTTCTTTCTTTTTTTTTTTTTTGGTCCGGTTGTGGGGCCTGAACTCTGGGCCTGAGCACTGTCCCTCAGCTCTTCAGCTCAAGGCTAGTGCCCTACCACTTGAGCCACAGCGCCACTTCTGGTTTTTTTCTTTTTG